TAATTAATTAGTTTCTTTATTTTTTAGTTTAAAAAATTTATTTTTTAGTTAAAAAATGAATAAAAATTTCATATTTCTTTTAGAAAATATTCCTTGCGAATATTTTTATTAAATAGCTCTTATGAAATGGAAGAATTTATATATATATATATATATAATAAGAATTAAAAATGAATATATACCTCATATATATAAGATTTTAGACTATATTTACAGCATATGTCGCAAAAACCAAAATTGTAATATAATACATCGTATTTATGATGTTATAATCATATATAAACACATATTTGAGTGATTTACGTTTCCATTTATGTTTTGAAAACAAATTCTTATTAGAAATAAGATTTCTTACGAACGCGTCAAAAGTAAATATACGCAACAAAAGTAGTTAGTCTGTTATGAAAGACAGTCGGGTAAAGTGGTTTTCTAGAAGCAGTAATTTCTGAATAAGCATGAATTCATTCAGTGTTGATTAATTTGAAATATTTAGTGAAAAAAAGTGAAATACTTACGATAGATAGATTTCAATATCTAGATATTTTAAAAAACAAATTTAATTGCAAATGTTACAAAAATTCAGTTGCTAGATTCGTGGATCATTCAGCAAAATCGAGACTCTAAACATACAACAAAGATTGTTAAGGATTGGTTGCAAAAAAATGCTCCAAATTTTAAAAGACTTTTAGTTAATTCTTAATTAATCTTAATAGGATACTAATCAAATTATTGGCAATCTTTATTCAAAACAGATTGTTAAATTGTATCTTGAACTTGATATATCATGTGAAAGGTTAATAGAATGATCGAACATTTCATTCGAGTTCCATATTTCAATGCATACTCTTGATAATGTCCATATAAATATTAATATTAACATTAATTTTCAAATATTAATATTAATGAAGTTTTGATACGCTATTGGTAAAATTTTTTATCGATTAATAATTAGATCGTACTCCTGAATATTATAAATTATGCACGGAAAGTTGTATGCTTTGATATTTAAATCTGATAACGATTGTTCCAGACTGAATAAAAAAACTCGCTTCAAGATGGATAAAGACTACCAGCGATCCAAGTTCAAGGTTCTGGTGTACATAATGCGTCAAACGATCAATCATATTCCAATGAATGACCGACAAGAAATATGAAATGCGCAAAAACTTGGTGCTTAATAAACTGAGTCCAGAACAAATATAATTCCATTCGCGGATTACGACTAGAGATTAAAATTCGTACGTATTATTATTGCAAACTAAATTCTTTTTATATGTTATTAATTATGATACTGAGGGAATATTAAAGAAAAATCTCCATTTTATATTTTAATATTAATTCATATAAATAAATCTTTCAAGTGAGCAATTTGTAATTTTAATATCATTAAAATATAATGTATTAAAATTATATATAACTAATCAGGTAAGTTATATAAATTTATATTTTATTTTTTTGATTCATTCTAAATATTTTACATATTTTTGCATACCTGTTTTTTTTTTAGATTTTTAGGTTTCTTACTTAAATTTATCATAAATTCATTCGCAATTTACATATGGCATAATATAAAAAACTCAATTTATTTTTTCAATGTCTGAGAAATAAGAAATGAAAAAGTTACTTTCGATTCTCATTTCATTTCAATTATATAAAAGATGCGAATAAACATTTTTATTTATATCAAATCCGACTATAAATAGTATAATATTTGTGATTCGTGATTCAGAATAAGATAAAGAATAAAAATAAAAAACGAAGACATCTAAAAAATTCATCGGTTCATGAACTTCATTTTCAAATCGATACTATACATCGTCATATTTTCATACTTTCTTCAAGATCCTTGGTCTTTTGCACTCAACTTTTTCACCCGCCATGCCATTTACTTCGTACAACATGGATGCTCAAGGCCACGCGCCGATTCAGCCCAGGATCGATCGCTTTTCCCGATCTTTATCTGCCCGAGCTGCTTTTTTTCACATTGCTTCGTGATCGAACACCGTGAATCGACCATCCTATTCTATTTCAAGATGTTATCGATAGCTTTTCCCCTCTTCTCGCCGATTTTTTTCTTTTTCTCCTTTTCATCCCATTCACCAATGACCGTGGTTTCCTTCCCTCTGTTCACCTTTAACTATTATTAGAATCGTCTGATTTAAAATTATGCATATATAATGTAGTAGCAGCCTATAATCATAATTTTGTATCTTTTTTTTATAATAGAATCGAAGGAAGAAAGTCTGATTGTAGTTCTCCAATCACAATGATAACGATTCATTTCAGAGATACTGAAAAAATTTTACATTTTCAGAGATACAAATATAAGAATCAATTATGCTCATCTTATAGCAAACAATTATAAATATAAATATAATATATTGGTTACAGAAAATCATAATTTTTCATCATTGGTATATTAAAAGAAGAAATAACATTTTTTTCTTTACAAAAAAATAGAAATAAATGTAGGAATAAAGTTCGTTGTTTCAAATAATTATAAAAACAAGATGAATTTTTCTCATTTATATTGATCAAAGTAAAGTTTTTTGTATAAATTCGTATTTTTTTTAAATACACCTAAAAAAAAAACATTTAAATAAATATTTTCTTTATATACGTATTCATAAATATTATGAATACGTATTTTAGGTTTCAGGTTATATTCGTCAATGATTCATTCAATTTTGATTTGAAAAAAAATCTACTTGTTTCTATTTTCTTTTATTCACACTCTTTATTGACAGAAAAGAGACATAAACAAGTCGAAGAAAAATTTATTTCTCTCGTTAAAAAATAAATATACTTGGAAAAGTATATGTACTGATCGAAGATATCCATCTTCCACAGAATCCCT